GCAGGACTGTGTAGAATTAGGGAGCAGAATGATACCACGGAGTCGAGGCAGGACTGAGGCAGAGCAAGAGTAAATATGGGAGTGGTGGCAGAAGCTAGAAGAGAACTGAAGATTTCTGGGAACAAAACTGGATTGAACTATCACCCACGGAGTCCCATCTCTGACATGCCTAGATGAGCCCATCCTTTTTGGGCATCTTCTGTGCATGGTCATCTCTTTAGAGTTAAGCCTATAATGCCCAATTTTTCCTTTTGAATGGAAGCTCCTCCTGCCTGCCCGCCCACAAACAACTACTGCACCTCTAGGTGTTCAAGACAGAAAGTCTGTACAGAGTTGGGAGCACACGCAGTCTTTGCAGCTTCACAGAATCTCCCTGCCAAGGGACGATCTTCCCAGTTAACACAATCACGCCTTTACGGAATCTACAATTCATAGCTTATACGACCATCTACCAGACCTGAGAATGGAAACTGGTATTTCCCTCCAGAAACTGATTTTTCCCAAAAGGCTTTAAAAGAGGATGATGAGACAACAACAAACTTGGGAAGAGTAAATCAAGGTCATGAGTTGATTTGAACTGAAGCAGCAAAGTTTTGAAAAGTAAATGTCCAGTTTTCTCAACAGGCTTAATGTTTGTTGCTGTTCTATGGTGATACAACTTTTTGTCCTACTGATAAGGTTGGGAAATCTGACTGCTTGTCTGCTCTGATGCTACAGGGCTTCCATTTTCCAAAATGATGACAAATCTTCAGGGTTTGATACGAGGTCTGACTGACATAGAAGTGTCTGGAATGAGGGCATCTACTGGAAGGAGAACTGAGACTGTGACTGGTAATTTGCAAATAATGAAGAGCGTTGGCTGAATGAGTGGAGCTGTTACATGAAAACTCTGAGAAAGAGTGGTCCTTTATAACAATCAATATAACACACCTTCTTCCAGAGTTTCATTTACTTGTTTGCCCATTTGTTTGCATGTAATATACAGGAAAATAGCAACTCACATTCCTTTCAAATTGTGGATATACACTGAAACACAATATTAAAAAAAAAGATACAGGTTATAAAAAAATTTCAAATTCTTTTTTAATCAGTAGGATGGAGGGAAACATTAAGAAATATGCCTTTAAATACAACAAAAGTAATTCTATGTTTTGGAAGATGTGAGCTCAACAATGAAGTTTAAAAAGATAACCTGCTAAGGGAGAGCCGAGTATGAGTTCTGACAGAAAAATTGGTACGAGCAAAATTTCATTCAATTTAGCAAACTGCTGGGTAGCTCATCTCTGGGCTGGGAAGGACTCCAAAGTGTCTTGCTAATGCACAGTTATAACTTGTCTGGAGAATCCTGAAGAAAGCAGAACCGTCCTGGGTATTTAGCTTGCCCCCAGACATAATAAGCCAGTAGTAGGAACCTGGATCTAGTTAAAGGTACTGAACTATCTAGCAGGCTAATAAATCATGCAGGAGACTCATTTACGTGATATTTAAGAGGTCTGAGACTGGATGGATTGCACTGGTTGAAACACTAGCTTATTTTATTATAGTGGTATCAGGCTTGAGAAAGAGGCTAGTAACAACTTCTGAAACCATCAGCTTTCCTTTTTTGCTTGCCTATAGACGACGGCAAGATGGAAACTTTAAAAAGAATGAACTCCATCGTTTAACACTGATTTAATATCTACTACAAACAACAATTTTCATGTTTCCCGAGAAAATGGGGAACCAGACTCCTTCAAAAGTATTTGTTGTCACTAACAGTATGGTTATAGTCTGCTTTTCTTAATCAACATGAACAAATGAAATCGGGCTCGAGGACTCACAATCTGAGATAACAGCGCTCCTGAATTATAGTCAGAAGTGTTTTCTTGTACCCTAAAATTTTAGAAGGAGGGATATAGCAGTATGAGAATGTTTATGGAAGACAGTTTATGATTTTGGCAATTTTCCTGAACTACTGATACACAGACAAATGCTGTTTCTTTCTTTAGCAAATGCTTAAAAATGGACACTAATCAATCAGCTGTGAAAGCTGGCATACATAAAAAAATGCTGAAGCACAGGAACATCAGCAGATATGATACATCCTTTAATGGCCAAAATCTCTGAATCCACTTTCAGTCCCTCTGGACAAGTAATATAAACCAAAAATTCAGTGATAGACCTTATAAAACAGCACTTCTCTAATCTAAAGCTAATTTTGACAGCTCTGGAACTGTTTCTGTGCACTGCTCATGTTGGTCTGTGTTTCCTAAACAAGTCTCTTCTGAGTATATTTTTACAGCTCAATTAATTACATTTTTACAAATAAAATTGAAGTGGTAGCAGAGCATTGACTTGCCCAACAGACATGATCTAACTTGCAAAACATACCCCTGGTCTGATGAGATACTTTCTATTTATTATCTGGTCATCTCAGTAATTCTTATGTTCAGTTTCAGAGATATTTTAACAGTATATTGGCAGTCTAATGGCTCAGATATTAAAGATATCTACTCCTCTTCTAATTTTACTTGAGTTCTAAGAGTCAATATAGGGTCTATATGAGCCATTTCTTTTGCTAACTAAGTATAAGGGAAACCTAAAAGCTTGTATGGGCTTAAACTGCAGATTACATGATTGAAGGTGCATGGTACACTGCAACCACGTAAGCTCCCTTCTTTTCCTCAAATGGTATTTCATTAAAGTGGTGTCAACACTGACACACCTAGTGACAGTATTCTCTGGACCCTTAGGATGCTTCCACTTGGACCAAGAAATCTTTGTTTTTTCTTCTTGGCCCTTGCTTCAAATGCAGCTCTGCATGATGAGTGTCCATTGAATATCCAGACCAAGCTCACAGAATCTCTGCTGTGCACCACTGATCTCACCTGAATTTTATTTATCTCTCATCATTTGCACTTTCCTAGGTCTCTAGAGATGGTATCTGCCTTCTTTTGTGGTTCTTCAAAAACTTCTCTAGCTAAGGGAATGTTAAGGCAACAACTTCTGACAGATTAATCACCAGCGCCGCTTTGGCATCATCTGTATTGCAAAGTGATGGTATGACCAGAAATAACAATTAGCATTCACTTCCAAAATCTAGGAAGCCTGGGCATTCCCATTAAACTACTCTGGTGTGGGAAGTTCCATTCTGAAGAAGGAACCATTAGGGGAGCTGCTGAAGCTCCAAAAGGCTGAGTGCAACTGGGGTGACAGCAGTGTCTGGAACATAGCATCCACTTCAACCTGAAACCTTCCTTACTGCTCCTGCAGTGACTCCGACATGTTCTGTAGCACTTGTGCCCCTTCTGTTAAGCCACTTTAATCTCTAGTGACTCTTAAAACTGTACCGAATGTGGGAAACCTACCAGGTGCAGGTGATTGGGGCTATCAATTACAGCAAACTGCAGCAATGAAGTGGGACTCGAGAACTAGAAAGTATTAAGCATGCCGAGGACAACATGACATACATCTTACTGTAGTAATAAAAAGACCTAAATATCATTTAGGAAGTTCATTTCCAGAGAGCACACAAAAATCCTTCCTTTGAGGCACTGACTAGATACAGCGATACTTTTTGACTGCGCAGCCATGGCTGTTGTTCTTCCTATCAGCTATATGAAAGTTTCAGAGCGGATAAATGCTTTTTTCTTACAGTAGTTGGTAGGTGTTAAAGTTCTTCACATTTAAATCAGGCACCTAAAAAAAAAATAACTTTCACTGAAGTCATTCATAGCCTGCAGTGGAAAATTAGTATTCAGCCTTTTGAAAGTACCTACATTGCTTAACAAATCAGTTTTTATTAACTTTGAAAGTGCTAGACGTTGAGGCTCCATTAACAGCATTAAATATGTATAACTTCAATATATTTTGCCTAAGGAATGCTCTGTTACCTTGTGGTGCTTCAATCTATACCCCCTTTCTTTTAAAATCTAGCAGACCACCAGCAATGTGGTTTAAATTCAACAACTTAAAATGCCTGTTATTGCAGGCTGGGAAACAGACTTTAAGTTAATGGAAAGAGTTGCAGCATGTTGTTTTCAAGAGTTAAACAACAGGAAACATAGCATAGCATTATTTTCAGAGCAGAGTAATCCTACATGGTGAGGTTTCGTTCTTGGAGATTTTTTTAATTATTTTTAAAGAATGTTAAAGTTGAACTCAAATAAAAATGAGATTTTTTTTTCCTGGAAGATTTTAATCTATATTTTCAGACTTCTAATAATCAAAGTGTAACGTTACATGTTGTCCCAGTACCAGAAGAAGCTAAAGGAACTTAAGCTGCCTTATAAAACATCCAAATGTTTTTTTCAAGTACATTATTTAAAAAGAAAATACTTTTCCAAGCTTTTTATGTGCTGACCTATTTGTGATATTGGATTCTTGCACTGAAGTGACGTACTTTGATTACTATTCTACAGTATGTGAACACAAGCACTGCATCAATACACTAAATTGAGAAGCTATTCCATTTTACCAGTGTTAACAACTGTATGCGCTTGTATAAATACTATCTTTCAGGGAATTAATAATTATTATGAACAGGTTGGCAGAGGAGAACACAGAGTCTTTATCTTGTTAGTAGAACTTACAAAAAAGATAAAGAAACAAATCCACCTTCCAAAGTGCTCAGCCATTTCAAGGCTGATGTTTTGTTCTGTATTGTTTTGGTTTTTTTTTAAAATCATCTTGTTTATTCTCTGTAGCTGAAACATCCCAAGTTAGAAACAGAATTTCTATTCAGAGCAGCAGTGAGGCTGTTCAGTACCTGCAGCAGGAACTCCTT